GGGATTACAGGCTTGAGCCACCGCGCCCGGCTTTTTGTTTAACATAAATGTTTTTGATATTTATTATTTATGTTGTGTATGTTAGTAGTTCATGCTTTTTATTTATTTATTTATTTTAATTTGAAACAGGGTCTTACTCTGTCACCCAGGCTGGAGTGTACAGTGGCATGATCACAGCTTACTGTACCTTGTCCTGCAGTACTCAAGTGATCCTGCTGCTTCAGCCTCCCAAGGAGTTGGGACTACGGCATGCACCACCATGCCTGGCTAATTTTTAATTTTTTTGTAAAGCTGGGTTCTCCCTACATTGCCCAGGCTGGTAATTTTTACATTTTTGTAGAGATGGGGTCTCACATTGATGCCCAGGGTAGTCTCAATCTCCTGGGCTCAAGTGATCCTCCTTCCTTGGCTTCCCAAAGTGCTGGGATTACAGATATGAGCCACCCATGCCCGGCCCAATTCTTTTTTTTTTTTTTTTTAATTGCTGAATAGTATGTCTCAGTTGACACATAAGATTTTTTTTTTTTTTAATTAAAAGTTTTTTAAGAGTCAGGATCCTTGCTTTGTTGCCCAGGCTGGAGTGCCCTGGCACAACAGTGGCTCACTGCAGCTTTGACCTCCTTGGCTCGAGTGATCCTTCTGCCTCAGCCCCCCAGGTAGCTTGAACTACAGGTGCGCACCACCATACCCAACCAATTTTTGCATTTTTTGTAGAGACAAGGTTTCGCCACATTAGGTTCATCTTGAACTCCTGAGCTTAATCTGCCTACCCTGGCCTCACAAAGTGTTGGGATTATAGGCATGAGCCATGGAGCTCAGCCCTAACCTACTGCTGCGTGATATTCCCTGTGTACTTTTTTTTTTTGAGACGGAGTCAGGCTGGAGAGCAGTGGCACCATCTCACCTCCCTGCAACCACCCCCAACACACCACCCCCACACTGGGTTCAAGCGATTCTCCTGCCTTTGCCTCCCAAGTAGCTGGAATTACAGGCGCACACCAACACACCTTGTCCATTTTTGTATTTTTAGTAAAGATGGGGTTTCACCATGTTGGCCAGGATCGTCTTGATCTCCTGACCTCATGATCTGCCCGCCTTGGCCTCTGAAAGTGCTGGGATTACAGGTGTGAGCCACCTCGCCTGGCCTATTTTTATTTTTTCGAGATGAAGTCTCACTCTGTTACCCTGGCTGGAGTGCAGTGGTGCCATCTTGACTTAACTGCAACCTCCACCTCCCAGGTTCAAGTGATTGTCCTGCCTTAGCCTCCTGAGTAGCTGGGATTACAGGTGCACACCACCACGCCCGTCTAATTTTTGTATTTTTAGTAGAGATGGGGCTTCACCATGTTGGTCAGGCTGGTCTCAAACTTCTGACCTTGTGATCCTCCTGCCTTTGCCTCCCAAAGTGCTGGAATTACAGGCTAGATACTACAGAGCAAGACTCAGTCTCAAAGAAAGAAAGAAAGAAAAAATTAGGCATGGTTATGTGTGCCTGTAGTCACAGCTACTCAGGAGGCTGAGGTGGGAGGATTGCTTGAACCCTGGAGCACCATTGCTCTGTCATAGCCTAGGTGACAGAGTGAGACCCTGTCTCAAAAAACAAACAAATCAATGGAAGAGTCTTGAGTTGTGTAAACACTGATGGGAAAGACAAGAAAGCGAAAAAGGCAGAGAGAAAAGAAGAAAAAATGAAAAAAGAAAAAAAGAAAGAGAAAGAGGCTGAAGTAACAGAGAAGCAAGCATACATGAAAGGCCTTTGTGACCTGTCAAGTGCTGTGCAAAATTAGTAATTTATTCTTCCTTCAGAGTCAAGAGGCTCTTTGGCCCAGTGTTATGCGAGTAGAGGGCACTTAGGAGTAGTAGGGGTGTTGAATATTCAGAAGAGCAGAGAGGATTTGAGAGCAGCTGCAGGGTCGGGGTGGCGGGGGCTAACCACCAGCATGGTGGCCACACAGAGGGTCTCTCCTGCCCTTGGGGCCTGTGGTGGTTCAGAGCTTCTATCTGATAGAATGATTAAGACTGGAATAGGCCAGGTTCTGCTGTGTAAAACAGTTCATCATGTAGAAAGCATTTTCGGGTCTCTGGAGTAGCAGTGGTTTATTGATACAGTTAACAAAATTCTACTGAACAGAATTCAGACTTTGAAGACCAGAAATTCATTTTGACTAACGGCGTCCCTCAGAACATACAGGATTGGGGTTTCTCTCCTAGCATATGAGGGTCAGTGTTTAGTGGGAACATCTGGCTCCCCCTGCAGGTTGGTATCCAGCAAGGCTGAGTTTTTGCCAAGCACTCGCTATGGGGACATCAGTTATAAATAAACAAAACACTCGCAGGAACGTTATGGTTATTCTGCCCAGGCAGGCTCCCAGCTTTCTGATAGATGTCAGACACTAGTTCTGGCCTCACAGTGTGGTGGTTCTGAACACTGATTGTATTTAAGCCTTCTGTGTTTTGCTTCTGTTCACCCAGGAGTACTAGTGAAAGACGCCTGAAAAGAGCAGTGTATTCTGGTGACAGGGAAATCACACATAGGTGGAAAGTTTGCCATACCCAGGTGATTGAGCAGACAGCTTTCGTATTTTTTTTTTTTTTTGAGACTGAGTCTCGCTCTGTTGCCAGGCTGGAGTGCAGTAGCTCACTGCAACCACTGCCTTCCGGGTTTAAGTGATTCTCCTGCCTCAGCCTCCTGAGTAGCTGGGACTACCGGCACATGCCACCATGCCCAGCTAATTTTTGTACTTTTAGCAGAGATGGGGTGTTTCACCATTTTGGCCAGGATGGTCTTGATCTCTTGACCTAGTGATCCTCTGGGATTACAGGCGTGAGCCACCGTGCCTGGAGGTTTGTTCTCCTCCAGCAGAGACAGCCTAGGTGGTGATTGTCCTGATCGTTTCTGTCATTGTATCCTGCTTTTGTATTTTGGTATATTTTGCCACTGATTTTGAGTATACAACTATAACTATTTTTTTTGTGGTATTATTTATATTTTATCAGCATGCTGTAATTATTATTATTATTATTATTATTATTATTATTATTATTTTGAGACGGAGTTTCGCTCTCGTTACCCAGGCTGGAGTGCAATGGCGCGATCTTGGCTCACCGCAACCTCCGCCTCCTGGGTTCAGGCAATTCTCCTGCCTCAACCTCCTGAGTAGCTGGGATTATAGGCACGTGCCATGTAATTATTTTTTTAATATGACAAAAGATTTTCTGTAGGGTTTAATTTCAGTCAGGACAAATTATTTCTTTTGAACTAGATCTCCAGTCTTATGATGATGATGAATAGGTTTTGCTAACAGAAATTTATTTTAAGGTAAGATTTTCTAGAAGGCATCTAGTTAGTAGAATTCATCTGATTCAAAGCAATAAAAGCTTCCTGAGGATCTATTGTATGTCAGTTCCCGAGCTAGATGCTAGAGAAACAGATATAAATTCAGTACCATCTCTGTTCTCTGGAAACTTACTGTTCAGGTAGTATTTCCCAAAATGTATTATGGAAATACTGGGCACGTGAGATTCCTTGGTCCAGTAGGTTTGAAGGATACTGCTTTGTTTTATCATCAGTCTACATAGAGATTCTCATTGCTTATGAGTATGTCATGGTTCAAGAAGTTCTGTGGTAAAGTTCTCTGTGTATGTTTAATCTAATGTTTCTCAAATTTATGTCACACACAAGCCCAGGGTGTGTGTGTGTGACATTTCTTAACAGCCTGAGAACTTCTGGAATAGCATGGACTTTGTACAGTGATAGAAATGTTCTTTATCTACACTGTCCAGTACAGAAGCCACTGGCCACCTGTGGCCATGGAGCACTTGAAACGAGTCTAGTGTGACTGAGGAAATGAATTTTAAATTTTATTTAACTTTAATTAATTTACATTTAAACAGCCACATGGGGCTAGTGACTTCTCTAATGTATAGGGCAGCTGTGGAAGCTATTTTGAGTCATGCTGGGCTAAAGGTGTGTTTTTATTTATTCATTCTACAAACATCAAGCTTGTGGTGGTCACTGAGTAAAAATGTCCTTGTCCTCAAGGAGCTCCTAATTTAGTGGGGACTGCAGGCACCTGCCACGTAATGATGAGCCTAAGGTGATTACTTGGAGCACAGAGGAAGGGGTTCAGCTTTGGTGGGGAGGTTGGGGTTGATCAGAGAAGGTGTCCTGGATGGGTCCTAGAGCGTAAGTCCTGAATAACAAGTAAGAGTTTATACAGTAAAACTTATTCCCTGTTTCCCTTCTTTTCTTTTCTTTTCTTTTTTTTTTGAGTCACCGTTTCGCTGTCAGTCATGCTGGAGTGCAGTGGCATGATCTCAGCTCACTGCAACCTCCATCTCCCAGCCGCAAGCAATTCTCCTGACTCAGCCTCTTGAATAGCTGGGATTACAGGCATGTGCCACTATGCCTGGTAAATTTTTGTATATTTAGTAGAGATGGGGTTTCACCGTGTTGGCCAGGCTGGTCTCAAACTCCTGACCTCAGGTAATCTGCCCTCTTCAGCCTCCCAGAGTGCTGGGATTACAGGTGTGAGCCACCATGCCCAGCCACTCCTTGTTTTAAGGTGCAGGTACTACCTACTCAGTGCAGGAAATGTTTGTCTCTACTTCTTACCCAGATGAAGCCCCTGTTCTTGCCGGAAGCTATAGGAGTACAGTGACATGACTTCACTCTTGCCCATGCTTCTGCCCGCCAGCTGTCAGTTAACCCACGCTTATTGAGGACAATGAGTAGCATGTGAACATGAAACATGGAGCCTTTGAGTATCCCCCAAAATCATCTTGTTGATGGGCTTATGCTGATACCATTTGCAGTGAGTCTGACAGAAGCAGGAACAGGGCGGTACGCAGCGACACTGCCTCTCCTTCCCTGGATTGAGGAGGGCCTCTTGAAGGGGTTGAGGTTCAAGAGAGCTGCAGCAACTTGAAGCAGCAGTGTTTGTTCCTCTCAGCTGTGGGAGATGAGTGGTCTAAGGATTATCTTTCTTCCTTCTCTCCAGATGGTGTCATACTCTTCTGTCCTCACAGCCATCAGTAAGGTATGACTATAGATACTCCAGAGCTAGGTGGAAGATGACAGACAAGGCCTCCCCTCCTGGTGGGCAGCCCTGATCCTGTGACCCATGAGGCTGGGCAGGCAGCACATGATGCCTGTGGCTGGCATTGCTGGTCTTCCGTGGGAGGGGGGTCCTGGCAAGTAGGGGCTGGTGCTTGGGAGCCAATGTCCACTGTTGAGGATGCTGAGTCTGGAACCCAAAGTTGGAGGAGACAGGAGGAATCCTGAACGCACTCTCTGCCTTGTGTGAGCCCTGGGGGTGGATGGGGGCGTTCTGTAGCATCTCCACTGTTCTTTCCACAGTTTGATGACTTTTCCCGGGACCTGTGTGTCCAGGCTCTGCTGGATATCATGGACATGTTTTGTGACCGTCTGAGGTAAGAAGAGCAGGGGTAAGAGGGCTCACAACGTTCCAGCCTTGTCTTAGTGCAGAGGTGAAGCTCCTAGCACACAGACCAAGACCAGCTCTGGGTTCTCACGTTTTTTTCACCCCACCTGCCCATCCGCACTCACCCGTCCCCTCCCCTCCTTTTCTTGCTCCCTTAGGATAGATCTTCCTCTGAGTAGCTCATTTGAAATCTTGTCCAGTAGAAGCCAGAGGGGCTAAGCGTCTTCCCCAGGACTTTGTTAGCTTCTCAGCCCTAGTTCCTAGTAGGGAAGTGCCAGGGACTCTGTGGAGCATTGGTGTGGGTTGGATTTCAGCCATTGGAAGAACGGAGCCCTGATTTTGCATCCTTCCCGGTAGCTGTCACGGCAAGGCTGAGGAGTGCATCGGACTGTGCCGAGCCCTTCTCAGCGCCCTCCACTGGCTGCTGCGCTGCACGGCAGCCTCTGCAGAGCGGCTCCGGGAGGGGCTGGAGGCCGGCACTCCAGCAGCTGGGGAGAAGCAGCTTGCCATGTGCCTTCAGCGCCTGGAGAAAACCCTCAGCAGCACCAAGAACCGGGCCCTGCTGCACATCGCCAAACTAGAGGAGGCCTGTATGTCCCTTGATTCCCCTGAGCCCCACCTGCCGCTGCTCCCATAGCCGGTCCTTTAATTGAGAAGGGAGAGGCAGGATGCCATCCCACTTCTTTCCAGGAGGATCTGAAACCATCCCACTTCCTTTTTTTTCTCCCCATAAGCATTGCACACATCCCAGGGACTTGGGCAGGGTGGCACCCGAGCCAATCAACCAACAGGTATTTACTGAGCATTGTCTTACACCCAGCACTGTGCTAGGTGCTGGGGGCGGGGGGTGGGGGGGCTATCAAAGGAGCATGTGGCAGGGTCCCTGCCCTCATCAAGCATAGCTGCTAGTGGGGAGCAAGACTAGTATGTCACAGATGCGGAAAAAACTAGAGGACAAGACAAGCACACCGTCCGTTATTGTGTTTGTCTCCATGTTACTCATCATCTGGAAGCGAATGCCTCTTGTATTTGAATGTTACCTAAAATGCCCCTTTGAACACAGTGCCTGTTTGCTGTTGGGCCTGTTGGACCATAAGCCTCTTGCCTCAAGTTCAGATGTTAAGTGTGGGTTCTCTCCAGAGCTTGAAAACAGACAGAGCACCTGGCGGGAGGGAAGATGCCAGTATTTCCAACAATGGGGTCCTAAGGCCATAGTCTTGCTCCTTGAAGCCCACATGGCTTGGGACCTCCTACATAGCTTGGGATCTCTTGTTCTCCAGGGACAAGATTGCTAGAATGGGTTACTCCCGAGACTTTAGGACCTGGTTGGAGAGCTTGTTTTAGGACTAGTATATTTATTTCTCCCTCAAGTATGTTTTACTGCCTGTGAAAAGTCCAAAAAAGACAATCATTATATAAAAATGGTCTGCGTTGACAGCTTCTTACCTACCTTGACCCTTGATAAATGTCTACTGGCTGAAAATCGGATGAATACTGAATGTTAATGGCTCTCAGGTCTTGTCTTTTTTTTCCCCTTCTGTGCTCCATGGAGGTTAATGGGCTAGTTGGTGCCATTATCCATCATTTGACCCTCTGGAATTGTAACTAGGATAAGTAACTTGTAATTCAGTGATAACTGATATGGCTTAGACCATGAGTATGGGCATTAGGAAGGAGAGAACAGTGAGTTAGACCAGTTGGGTGAGTTACTAAAGGAACTGGGGCTTGAACAGAGGGGCTTGGAGCATGGTGGGAGTTTGAGAGAGGGTGTGCGAGAGAGGCCTTCAGCAGGGGAGGGCAGCAAGTGTACCGCCTAGATGAGGGAGTGGTTGAGAATGGGAAGGCCATTCAGGGACCCAGCGCCCCCAGGGGAGAGTAACAGCCTCTCCAAGGCTGGGTTTGGAATCCGCCCACTCCTCGAGTGATTTGTGGCCACACTCCCTGTTCCAGCTACTGGACTCTAACCTCCCTCTGCCCCTCTCTCCTGAGCCTGTGTGATGCCAATCCTTGTGAAGTCAGCTGGCTGTGTCCCCTGGCAGTCAGGCCTTTGGGAATGGTCTCTAGGGTTTCCAGCTCTAGGTGCCCACCCCTCTTCTGGAAACAGTGCATGCTGCCCTCAGGCCCCTGCCTCCCTGTCTTCCTGAGGGGAAGCCTTCCTGTGTGGTTTTGAATGACAGAGGCGGTGCCAAAATCAAAGAGTTTGGGGCCAGGCCCTCCCTCTCCCCTGTTTCCCATCACGTTTCTGCACTTCCTTCCCTCTGCCAGCCTCCTGGACTGCCATTGAGCATTCTCTCTTGAAACTTGGAGAGATCCTGGCCAATCTCAGCAACCCCCAGCTCCGGAGCCAGGCTGAGCAGTGCGGCACCCTCATTAGGAGGTAGCGGCTCCCTGGGGAATGGTGATGGAGGGAGAGGAAGGACATGCCCTGGGGTGGGAAGATGTGGTACCTGGTGCCATCCCCTCCACCTTCACCTTTGGCCCCCTCAAACAATGTCCCCTGTGTTTGTGACCCCTCAGCATCCCCACGATGCTGTCTGTGCATGCAGAGCAGATGCACAAGACCGGCTTCCCCACCGTCCACGCCGTGATCCTGCTCGAGGGCACCATGAACCTGACAGGCGAGACACAGTCCCTGGTGGAGCAGCTGACGATGGTGAAGCGCATGCAGGTGGGAGCGGCTGAGTGGCTCTCCCTTCCCCAAGGCGGGCCAGCCTTTTGGGGGCAGGAGGGAGGATTCATCTGGTTCTCCCTGGGAGAAGTGGGTTTGTCTTGCTCTGTGACGGATAATGGGTGCCAGGCGTGTACACTTATGTCATTGGACCTTACGCCTCTGGTTCTCAGCACAGAGCTGGGCAGTGACTCTGCCATGCAGTCTCTGACCCAGCCAAATCCTTGGGTGTCCATAGAAGGATGACAGGGTATGGGCACCCTCTTAGGCCTCATCCTTGACTCTTCCCACAGCATATCCCCACCCCACTTTTTGTCCTGGAGATCTGGAAGGCTTGCTTTGTGGGGCTCATTGAGTCTCCTGAGGGTACAGAGGAGCTCAAGTGGACAGCTTTCACTTTCCTCAAGGTACCGGGGACGTGGGCGGGACAGAGCCAGTCTAGGAATGGTTCTCAGGAAGAGCAGTGGCACCCTGGACCTCTGCCCTGTGTTTCTCCCTGCGGGCGCTGGGCCCAGCCTGCCAGGTATCCCAGTGCAAGTTCCCATTGATCATTTTTTCTGAAAGTGCCAGGGCTATATTTAGCCCATTTGGCAAACTCTGTTGTTTCTTACCACAGAGGTGCAGTTTAGCTTGGTCATCAGACAGATTGGTGCAGGGCAGTGAGGGGAGCCAGGGAAAGGGGCCCCAGTCCTCCTTGAAGCTGGGGATCTACTTTTGCTTATGGCATTTTTTTCTGTTGAGTGAGCAGAGGTGCAGGGTCCCTGTGTCCTCTGCCTAGGCCTGGGGACATAAGGGACCCAGGTACCTATTGGCTGCCATTTAGCTCTAAGTGTGCTCTCACTCCCAGGGCAGGACTGTTCCTGTCTCTCTCCTTGGAGGAGCTGGTCGGGGGGAGGTCTTCAGGGGTACATGAAAGAGAAAAGAAACGGATCTTGCTGTTTTCCCCTCTGCCTCACCCCCTAGATTCCACAGGTTTTGGTGAAGTTGAAGAAATACTCTCATGGGGACAAGGTGAGTTGAGGAATTGAGATGGCGGCATGGGAGCAAAAACAAGGGCAAGGGAAAGGTCCTTCGGGCCCCAACTGGGCAGTGTTCTCATGCCTGGAAGAGAGCTGGATGCATGTGTGCATGTGCGCACCTCAGTGTGCGTGTGCTTTGCTGTGTATGTGCTTCAGTGTGTGTGTGCTTCATTGTGTGCACCTGCTTCAACGTGAGTGTGCTTCAGTGTGTGTATGTGTTTCAGTGTGTGTGCGCTTCAGTGTGTGTATGTGCTTCAGTGCGTGTGTGCTGCAGTGTGTGCACCTGCTGCAGGGCGAGTGTGCTTCAGTGTGTGTATGTGCTTCAGTGCATGTGTACTTCAGTGTGTGTGCACTTCAGTGTGTGCACCTGCTTCAGCGTGAGTGTGCTTCAGTGTGTGTGCGCTTCAGTGTGTGCACCTGCTTCAGGGGGAGTGTGCTTCAGTGTGTGCACCGGCTTCAGCATGAGTGTGCTTCAGTGTGTGTGTTTCAGTGTGTGCTCCTGCTTCAGCGTGAGTGTGCTTCAGTGTGTGTATGTGTTTCAGTGTGTGCTTTAATATGTGTGCGCTTCAGTGTGTGTCTTTCAGTGTGTGTGCTTCAATGTGTGTGCGCTTCAGTGTGTGTGTGCTTCATTGTATTTCAGTGTGTGTGTGCGCTTCAGTGTGTGCACCTGCTTCAGCATGAGTATGCTTCAGTGTGTGTATGTGCTTCAGTGTGTGTGTGCTTCAGTGTGTGCACCTGCTTCAGGGCGAGTGTGCTTCAGTGTATTATGTGTTTCAGTGTGTGTGCGCTTCAGTGTGTGTGCACTTCCGTGTGTGTGTGCTTCAGTGTGTGCACCTGCTTCAGTGTGTGTGTGCTTCAGTGTGTGCACCTGCTTCAGTGTGTGTGTGCTTCAGTGTGTGCACCTGCTTCAGGGCGAGTGTGCTTCAGTGTGTTATGTGTTTCAGTGTGTGTGCGCTTCAGTGTGTGTGTGCATCAGTGTGTGCGCACTTCCATGTGTGTGCGCTTCAGTGTGTGCACCTGCTTCAGCATGAGTGTGCTTCAGTGTGTGTATGTGTTTCAGTGTGTGTGCTTCAGTTTGTGTGTGTGCTTCAGTGTGCGCGTGTTTGTGTGTGCATCTGCCTCAGCGCAGGTGTGCTTCAGTGTGTGTGTTTCAGTGTGTGTGTGCTTTAATGTGTGTGCACTTCAGTGTGTGTATTTTAGTGTGTGTGTGTGCTTCAGTGTGTTTGTGCGCTTCAGTGTGTGTATTTCAGTGTGTGTGCGCTTCAGTGTGTGTGCTTCAGTGTGTGTGTGCTTCAGTGTGTGCACCTGCTTCAGCATGAGTATGCCTCAGTGTGTGTGTGTGCTTCAGTGTGTGTATGTGCTTCAGTGTGTGTATGTGCTTCAGTGTGTTGCGTGCTTCAGTGTGTGCACCTGCTTCAGCATGAATATGCTTCAGTGTGTGTGTGTGTGTGTGTGCGTGTGTGTGCTTCACTGTGTGTGTGTGCTTCAGTTTGCATGTGCTTCAGCATGTGCACCTGCTTCAGAGTGTGTGTGTGCTTCAGTGTGTGTGCGTTTGCTTCAGTGTTTGCGTGCACCCACAACATACACTCAGGCTCCAGGCAGAATGCAGCTAGGCAGCTCAGGTTGATGCTTCCAGCAGTCAAGGTTGCCTGAGATAATAAGGACCGGGTGGCGCTGTGGGGAGCAGTGATGCTGCGTACTTCTCCCCATCTAGTCGCTGGGAGCCAGCGGTGGGCAGGGCCTACTTACAGGCTGTGTATTCGGCAGCGTGTCCTAGTGAGCCTGCACTGTGGGCTGAGGGAGGAGCAGAGGATCTGGAAACCAGGTAGACACTTCTCTCTCTTTTTAGGACTTCACTGAGGATGTCAACTGTGCTTTCGAGTTCCTGCTGAAGCTCACACCCTTGTTGGACAAAGCTGACCAGCGCTGCAAGTATGAGCTCCCCTGCTCACCCCTGCCCTACTGGAAGGCGTTCTGGGCTCTTCCCCGATCTGTGCCCGAGAAGCCTCAGGGGACTCTGACTCCTTGTTCACTCCCCTTGGCAGGGGCAGGAAGCAACAGCCCATAGTTGCCAAGTCCCCAGAGCCCCTCTACTGTCCCTCAGGCACTCCAGATTTTCCTCATCCTGAAAGAGGGAGGAGGATGCTCAGGGACCTGCTGCTCCCTCTGCCCCCCACCATCCCAGCCAGGTGCACAGTTCCCTCAGCATCTTTCTCCCTCACAGCTGTGACTGTACAAACTTCCTGCTCCAAGAATGTGGCAAGCAGGGGCTTCTGTCCGAGGCCAGTGTGAACAACCTTATGACTAAGCGGTAAGTGTGAGCACACCTGGGCTACCCCAAGAGCCCCTTGACCTCTTTCTTGTTATGATGGGGCTGCTGGGTGCCTTTCAACCTTCTGTCTAAAGTGTGGGCTGCAAGTGACTGGGATCATGCCTTGGGGTACAGGGAACAGGAAGGAAAAGAAGGCACCCGTGTCTTCAGACCAGAGTTTTACACTTAGTCACTGCTCTTTAACTCATACCCATCTTTGTGATAAAAGTAAAAATCCTAGGCCGGAGGTGGGTGGTGATAAAAGTAAAAATCCTAGGCCGGAGGTGGGTGGATTACTTGAAGGCCAGGAGTTCAAGACCAGCCTAGCCAACATGGCAAAACCCCATCTCTACTAAAAATACAAAAATCAGCTGGGCATGTGGTATGCACCTGTAATCCCAGCTACTTGGGAGGCTGAGGCATGAGCATCGCTTGAACCCAGGAGGCGGAGGTTGCAGTGAGCTGAGATTGCACCATTGCACTCCAGCCTGGGCGACAGAGTGAGACCTTGTCTCAAAAATAAAAATTCTGAATCTTCTTTTAATCCTAAATCTGCTTTCAGAGCATTTAAGATTAATGATAGGCTGGGTGGGGTGGCTCATGCCTTAATCCCAGAACTTTGGGAGGCTGAGGCAGGTGGGTCACAAGGTCAGGTGAAACCTCGTCTCTACTAAAAATAGAAAAATTAGCAAGGCGTGGTGATGTGGCCTGTAATCCCAGCTACTCAGGAGGTTGAGGTAGGAGAATCACTTGAACCCAGGAGGTGGAGGTTGCAGTGAACTGAGATCTTACCACTGCATTCCAGCCTCGGCAGCAGAGCGAGACTCTGTCTCAAAAAAAAAAAAACAAAAAAAAAGACTAATGATAAATTGCCAGGTGCAGTGGCTCACGCCTATAATCCCAGCACCTTGGGAGGCCAAGGTGGGCAGATATCCTGAGGTTAGGAGTTTGAGACCAGACTGGCCAACATGGTGAAACCCCGTCCCCCGTCTCTACTAAAAATACAAAATGTGTCTGGGTGTTGTGAGCGTCCAGCTACTCAGGAGGCTGAGGCTGCAGCCTTAGAATCGCTTGAACCTGGGAGGCAAAAGCTGCAGTGAGCTGAGATTGTTCCACTGTACTCCAGCCTGGGTGACAGAGTGAGACTGTCTCAAAAAAAAAACTGATGATAAATCAGTGATTGCGATATTGACTACGCTTCCATGAACTTCACCCCAACCTCGGAGGTTCTTATGTGTGTCCCACCTCCTCTGTGCATTTGCTTCTGGGCTTGAACAAGAGAATGTGTCAAGAATTTCTCTCCATTCTTCTTCCCTTCCTTATACAACTGGTGATGTCCACAGAAAAGCAGACCGGGAGCATGCACCCCAGCAGAAATCGGGAGAGAATGCCAACATCCAGCCCAACATCCAGCTGATCCTCCGGGCAGAACCCACTGTCACAAACATCCTCAAGGTGAGTATGCCCTTCCCTGGTCACCACGGTCTTTCCTCTTCTCAGTGCTCTATCTGCTTGCAGTTAAATAAAGGCCTCAGACCTCTGTTTCCTTTAGCTTTTACATATAGTTGCTTTGGAGGTAGTGAAAGGGGAGGCAAGGGTAGCTATCACTGATGGTGACCCGTGGGAGCTTCATTTGTACAGCACTTTCTCTTAGGCCGTCTCACATGGAAACAACAGAGGCGTGGGGCGCGGTGGCTCACACCTGTAATTCCAACATTTTGGGAGGTTGAGGTGAGAAGATCACTTGAGGTCAAGAGTCTGAGACCAACCTGGCCAATGTGGTGAAACTCCATCTCCACTAAAAACACAAAATTCACCTAGTGTGATGGTGCATACCTGTAATTCCAGCTACTTGGCAGGCTGAGGCAGGAGAATCGCTGAACCCGGGAGGTGGAGATTATGGTGCGCTGAGATTGCATCACTGCTGCACTCCAGCCTGGCAATAGAGCGAGACTCCCTCTCAAACAAAAAGGAAGTGACAGAGAAGTTCCCAGCCGTGACCTTGCCCACCCCGACCTTACCACCTTCATGCCAATGTAGATGAGGGGGATGGATTGGAGAGCAAGGATAAGTTTTAGGAACGATTTTCCAGATTGAAGTCAGAAAGACGTAGATTACATTCCAGTTTGTGAAAGAGAAAATGTGGCTAGGCTGTATCTTGGGTGGGGGGTCTTCAGTGTTCTTCAGGACTTGATTTCCTGTCCTGTCTCCAGACGATGGATGCAGACCACTCTAAGTCCCCGGAGGGACTGCTGGGCGTCCTGGGCCACATGCTATCTGGGAAGAGTCTGGACTTGCTGCTGGCTGCTGCTGCTGCCACTGGAAAGCTGAAATCCTTCGCCCGGAAATTCATCAAGTGAGGAAGGCTAAGCTCCTGACCCCAGGGCGTGCAGGGAGGCCATGTGTGTTGGCAGGAGGTAGCAGGGTAGGAGTCAGGTGCCACCCACGGGCCTAGGCAGAGCACCCTGGCTGGAGATCTTGTAGGAAGGGCTTGTTCTCACAACCTAAGTGTTCTTTTCTCTTCAGCTGAGGATGGAGTGGACGTGTTTGGTAAAGAGATGAGGGTAAAGGTTGAGGTGTTGAGCACTGGACATGGAGGAATTCTGAGCATGCCCAGTTATTAATAAGCAGCTCTCAAATTCTGTTGCCTTTTTTGGTTGCCCTGGAATTTGACATATAGAACATTGTTCCATTCAGTGAGCCATTCTCTAGGCTTTGGAAATCTTCTCACAATAGTAATACTTTTCCTGTAGCAGCATGTCTCATTTTAAGTTTAACCTGTAACTCAGAGCATGTGTAGCCCCCAGCACCCAGCTACTGCTCAGCTCATGCTCTGGTCAACACAGCCTGTCTCCATTCCTTTCAGTTTGAATGAATTCACAACCTATGGCAGTGAAGAAAGCAGTAAGTCAGCCCTGTGCATCCGCAGGCCCAGTGGGGCCTGAGGAGGGGTGTGGAGGGAGAGTGTGGGAGGGAGGAGGGTGTGCGGGAGGGAGGGGGGCACCTGGGCTCAACGTGGGGAGGCTGTGCTGCCTCCTCAGAGCCATGACCGATGGAAGCTTCCACGGAGCTTGAAAGTGGGTAATGTTGGAAAAGGATTCTTCCCAGACCATCCCTGTGTCTCGTTCCCCCCACCCCTTGTGACTTGGTTGGGTACGCTGGAAGAGAGTGCTGGGGGCCTTTGGTCTCAAGGAAGGGATGATGTTCCAATTGAGACTCAAGAAAAGGATTCTGAGCCTCAGAGCTTTGAAGGAGCCACGTGGTCCCTGACCTTCCTAGAGACAAATCCCGATCCCTGTCCACCCAGACATGGGCTCTCCCTGGTAGCTCAGCTGTCCTGTCCTTCCACAGCCAAACCGGCCTCTGTCCGGGCCCTGCTGTTTGACATCTCCTTCCTCATGCTGTGCCACGTGGCCCAGACCTATGGTTCAGAGGTGAGAAAGAGGGGAGCGGCCGGGACGGGGGCTCAGGGGAAGGAGGTAACCCGGAATTCTCCCCGCCTCACCACCCGCCCCGCCACAGCCTCTCAGCCAGTTAGTTTTGTGGGCCTCAGAAACCAAGTACCACCCCCCCGGGCTGGAGTCTGCAGAGGCCCCTTCAGCCCCATGCTCACACTGACCACTAGGTGGCAGCATAGCCCCCGTCTGCCTCCGCTGGACCGGTTTGTCCCCAGTCTTCAGGCTGGGCTGGAGCAGCAACGTGACGGGAAACAGTGCAGCCCCAGGTCTAGCGCTGGCAGGCGCTGCGCCCTCCACCCGGCTGGTGCCCCCTCTTCCCCTTTCCCAGGTGATTCTGTCCGAGTCGCGCTCAGGAGCTGAGGTGCCCTTCTTCGAGACCTGGATGCAGACCTGCATGCCCGAGGAGGGCAAGATCCTGAACCCTGACCACCCCTGCTTCCGCCCCGACTCCACCAAAGTGGAGTCCCTGGTGGCCCTGCTTAACAACTCCTCGGAGATGAAGCTGGTGTCAGTGGCCCGGGCGCCCACTCCAAGGGTGGCGGTGGGGGCACGGCCAAGACTCTCCCTGAGCCTGTCCCCTGCTCCCCTGTGGTGACTTCTCCCACGCACACCCACAGGCAGATGAAGTGGCACGAGGCCTGTCTCAGCATCTCAGCCGCCATCTTGGAAATCCTCAATGCCTGGGAGAACGGGGTCCTGGCCTTCGAGTCCATCCAGGTAGCCCCGCCTTCCCAGCAGCCTTTGCTCCCATGAGCTAGCAGCCAGTGATGGCTTGTTGTATTTCGGAAGAGCTAGAAGACCTTTAATCCAGGAGCTCATGTGTTTTTGTTTGTTTGTTTGTTTGTTTTTTTGAGACTGAGTCTTGCTTTGCTGCCAGGCTGGAGGGCAGTGGAGTGATCTCGGCTCACTGAACCTCTGCCTTCTGGGTTCAAGTGATTCTCCCACCTCAGTCTCCCGAGCAGCTGGGAGTATAGGCGTGTGTCATTACGACTGGCTCATTTTTGTATTTTTAGTAGAAACGGTTTCACCATGTTGGTCAGGCTGGTCTCGAACTCCTGACCTTGTGATCTGCCTGCCTCAGCCTCCCAAAGTGCTAGGATTACGGGTGTGAGTTACCACAGCTGGCCCAAGGAGCTCATGTTTTGATATTGATCTTTTGCATAATCTAGTCTTAGCCACTCCCTCTGGCCCAAGTAGCTCTGGGAAAAATCAAACTCGTGGAGGAGAGGTGTGGAATGTCGCTGGGGACTCCACCTGCTGCACTTAGATGCCCACAAAGGCTGAGAAGGTGATGGCCCAGGAATGGGAGATAGATGGTTCCCATCACCTTTCCTCTCCCCTAGAAAATCACTGATAACATCAAAGGGAAGGTGTGCAGTCTGGCGGTGTGTGCGGTGGCTTGGCTTGTGGCCCATGTCCGGATGCTGGGGCTAGATGAGCGTGAGAAGTCTCTGCAGATGATTCGCCAGCTGGCCGGACCACTGTTTAGTGAGAACACCCTGCAGTTCTACAATGAAAGGTCAGTAACCTGTCCTCCCTTCTCAGGCCCAGCAGGTGTGTTGTGAGAAGTCCATCCAATAACAATCACCCCTCTCTTTTCTGACCTTCGTGAACACGCCGCTTGATCACTCATTCACTTTCCTGTTCCTGCATTCACTCACCTGACTCGGTCAACACATAGTGTGTTTCTGTGGCAGAAACGTCTGTACGCCAGCACCTGCTGTGTGTCAGAAATGCAGATCCCAAACAGCTACTCTCCTGCCCTCAGATTCTTAAGTTCTACACAACTAGCTCTCCAAAGAACAAAGCTGTGTAACTGTCTAGGAACTAGAAACGTGTCTGTAGATTTTACAGGCCATCCCCCACCCCCAGTTATCTTTTAGGACAGTTTCCTGCCCTGGCTCTTCAGTTTTTAATTATAAAAAGCACATAAGATTTGCCATCCTAACCATGTTTAAGTGTCCTGTTCGGTAGTGTTTAGTATATTCACACTGTTATGTAACAAGTCTCCAGAACTTTCTTCTTGCATCTCTGAAACTTCGTACCCACTGAGCCACTTCCCATTTTTTACCTCCCTCCAGCTCCTGGTAACTACCATTTTACTTTCTGCATCTAGGAATTTGACTACTTTATACTTTTTCTTTTTTTTTTGAGACCCAGACCAGAGTGAGTCTCACTGCAACCTCAAACCTCTGGGCTCAAGTGATCCTCCCACCTCAGCCTCCCGAGTAGCTGGGACTACGGGCCCACATCTGGCTAATTTTTTCTATTTTTTTATAGAAACATGTTCTTACTATCTTGCTAGGTCTTGAACTCCTTGCCTCAAGTGATCCTCTCACTGTGGACTCCCAAAGTGCTAGGATTGTAGGCATGACTCACCGAGACCTGCTGAATTTGATTACTTTTTAGATGCCTCATTTAACTGGAATCATACAGTACTTAACATTTCGTGACCAACTGACTTCACTCACCATGATTTCCTCAAAGTTCATCCATGTACTAGCATGTGACAGAATTTCCTTCCTCCTTAAGGCTGAATAATACTCTGTTGTGGGCTGGGTGTGGTGGCTCATGCCTGTAATCCCAGCACTTTGGAAGGCCGAGGCGGGTGGATCACTTGAGGTCAGGAGTTCAAGACCAGCCTGGGCAACATGGTGAAACCTCATCTCTACTAAAAATACAGAAATTAGCTGGGCATGGTGGCAGGCACCTCTAATCCCACCAGCTACTGGGAGGCTAAGGAGAATTGCTTGAACTCAGGAGGCAGAGGTTGCTGTGAGCCGAGATCACGCCACTGTATGCCAGCCTGGGTGACAGAGTGAGACGCTGTCTCAAAAAACAAAACAAAAACAAAAACAAAAACAAAAAAAAACCTCTGTTGTGTGGCTATATCGCATCTTGATGATCCCTTCTCTGTGACACTTGAGTTTTTTCCACCTTTGGGCTACAGTGAATAGTGCTGCTGAGATCATGGGTGTTCACCAGCCAATATGTTTTGGGTGTTGCCTTGCAAGGTAGCTGTTGAGAATGTCATTTATATTTAGAGACGGAGTCTTGTTCTGTTGCCCAGGCAGGAGTGCAGTGGTGTGATCTCGGCTCACCGCAACCTCCGCCTCCTGGGTTCAAGGAATTCTCTTGCCTTAGCCTCCCGAGTAGCTGGGATTACAGTCATGTGCCACCACGCCCAGCTAATTTTTGTATTTTAGTAGAGATGGGGTTTTGCCATGTTGGCCAGGCTGGTCTCGAACTCTTGACCTCAGGTGATCCTCCCACCTCAGCATTCCAAAGTGCTGGGATTACAGGCGTGAGCCACCACGCCCAGCCTGAAGATGTCTTTTCTTTTTCTTTTTCTTTTTTCTTTTTTTAAGATAGGGTTTCACCATGATGGCCAGGCTGGTTTTGAACTCCTGACCTCAGGTGATCCACCCATCTCGGCCTCCCAAAGCTCTAGGATTACAGGCGTGAGCCACCACGCCTGGCCCTGAAGATGTCTTAATAGAGAGAAGGAAAGCATTGAGCTGAATGAGGTTTGAGAGGGTCTGGAAAAGGACCTCTCATCTTCCTCTTCCTTCTTTTTACTTTCTTCTCTCATTTCCGTTCCTCCTCCCCCACCCCTACCAAATAGGGAGCTTTTGCTCTGGTGTAATCCATTCTAAGCTTCCTAAGTCCTATCTGGGTAAGGGATAGAGGGAAGTCTGTGACTCTATTGTGCAGGTGAGAAAAGTGGCTCTAAAAGTCATAGCAGCTTTCCCAGAGCCACCCCGCATTCCAGGAACAGTCAGCACTCGGCCAGGTCTGTATTCACATCCAAAGCCTCTTTCCTTGTGAAAATTCCTGGATATACACTTTTGTCTGCCCAGCTACCAGGGGCCGGGAAGAATCCTGTGGGGCAGCCCTTGGCCCTCTCCTGGAAGGAACTGTTTTCTTTGGGAGGAAGCCAGGGCTAGGCGGGGACCCCCAAGTGGCCCAGGGGGAAGTGATTGTGTTTATTTATGCAGCAAGTTGGCAGGGCCCAGGCCTGAGGAGTGGGGGAAGTTGGAGAGTGAGGGAAGAAAAATGTGAATATCTGGCTGGAGTGGCCAGGGGGAGGAAAGCCCCTGCCCAGTCCCTGTTTATAGGCTTTGTGCACTGCAGGTGAGAGACCTGCCGGGAGCAAGGTTGGGGCCAGGTCACCGGGCGTCCCCTCCCCCAGCACAGAACTGGGCTAATTCCTGAGGGAGATTTCCGTCACCCAAGTCCAGGGAAAAGTCTGGCATGGGTATTTCCTCCCCTCCCCTCCCCGCTCCGCCCCACAGTGGCACCTGAGCCTCAGGTGCTCTCGGCCCCCCCAGGGTGGTGATCATGAACTCCATCCTGGAGCGCATGTGCGCGGATGTGCTGCAGCAGACAGCCACGCAGATCAAGTTTCCCTCCACCGGGGTGGACACGATGCCCTACTGGAACCTACTGCCCCCCAAGCGGCCCATCAAGGAGGTGCTGACGGACATCTTTGCCAAGGTGCTGGAGAAGGGCTGGGTGGACAGCCGCTCCATCCACATCTTCGACACCCTGCTGCACATGGGCGGTGTCTACTGGTTCTGCAACAACCTGATTAAGGTACTTGGGCCGGAGTGGCTGTGGGCCAACGCGGGTCCTGGGCCCTGGTTCCCCACACCTGGCCTGGTCACCTCGCCTTCCCTGAGAGGCTGCGGTGAGCCGGATAGCCCCCTGGGGATGCGTCGCCTTGGGGTTGCCTCCTTGGGGAGCTCTGGCCAGAGGCTGGGATTCGGCCTGAGGGGTGCAGCAGCATCTGGGGCCCCTCTGCGGGCCTTCCTGGACAGCCATGCTGGAGTGGCAGAGTGTCAGTGCCTCAGATCCTGGGCCCCCGGCTCCTAAACTGACTCTGTTCCCACGCACCAGGAGCTGCTGAAGGAGACGCGGAAGGAGCACACGCTGCGGGCGGTAGAGCTGCTCTACTCCATCTTCTGCCTGGACATGCAGCAAGTGACCCTGGTCCTGCTGGGCCACATCCTGCCTGGCCTGCTCACTGACTCCTCCAAGTGGCACAGCCTCATGGACCCCCCGGGCACCGCTCTTGCCAAGTAGGATTCTCTTTAGAGCTTGGTACCATCCTGGGGGACCGGGCTTTGGGGAGCCCAGACACAGCCCCTGGGGTTTCTCTCACTGTCCCCCTTTTTCTGGAACCCTTTGCCAGGCTGGCTGTGTGGTGTGCCCTCAGTTCCTACTCCTCCCACAAGGGACAGGCATCCACCCGCCAGAAGAAGAGGCACCGCGAAGACATTGAGGTAGGGCCCCTCTGTTTACTTGTTAATTTCCTGCGGAATTCAGCACTTCCTGAGGGAAGCAGATGTGGTGTGATTGGTCAGGGATCTGCGGGTGGCTCGTGTGGCCCCAGACTGCCCGTGGGTACGAGGGGCCTGTAGGATTGTGGGACGGGTGAGGAGAGAGGGGCTGAGACCCCGCTGGCCGTGCCGACCTCACCCGAATTGGAGCTCCAGCTCTTTTCCTTGACAGCTGGAAACGGAGGGGTTTAGGGGTACGTAACAGTGACTCTCCCACCCTCTCTAGGATTACATCAGCCTCTTCCCCCTGGATGATGTGCAGCCTTCGAAGCTGATGCGACTGCTGAGCTCCAACGAGGATGACGCCAACGTCCTTTCGAGCCCCAGTGAGTGTGTGGGCTGGCGGCACGCTGCCCCCTTTCCTGGGAGTGCGCTCCCCGATGCTGCCACTCTGCCGCTGCCCCAGCTGGAGGCATCTTTGCAGCTGGTCAGAGAGGGTATGGCAGGGACCTGTGCCGTTCTATCCCCCAAGGGGGTGTTCTGTGTCCTGCCCCTGGAGAAGACGTTGCTGTTCTTGCTCCCTGAGGCTTGAGGCTCCTCTGCTCAGGTCTAGCCTGGCCCATAGTTCCACCCCAACCCCCGCCCCCTTCCTCACCCCAGGATTGAGGGGATGACAGGCCACCCAAGTGAGTTCACTGCCTCAGGCACAGCCTGTACCATTGACTCACTGGCTCTGACCTTCCTTCCTTCCCCCAGACATGCCCAGAGAGGCCCGCGCTGGGGCTTAGGGCTACCCCCGACCTTCCTGCCGAAGAGCACGCCCCCCGCTCCCCCGGAGGCCATCCCTCTCACTGTCCTTGCCTCCCTGCCAGGCTTCCTGTCAAGGGCTCCTTCTGTGGCATTTAAATTTTCCTGTTGTCAGAGATTTCTCCTGAGCCTGGATGTTTTTCTGAAGGCTTTTGGGGACTATGGGACCAACTACACACTTGATCAGAAGAAAGATGCTAGGTCTGCCACCTACCAGCCCTGTGACCTTTAGCTAGTGACTGAGCCAGCCCCTGTCTGGGTTTCTCGTCTGTAAATGGCGCGTTGTGAGGAGGAAATGCCAAGGGCCCCTGGCCCTGTGTGCTCACTACACGTTAGTTTTTCTCTCTCATCTCTGTTGGGATCTCTCTGTATCCAAGGCCCCTCTGTGCCCTTTTTATTTTATTTTTGAGTTGGAGTCTCTCTCTGTCTCCAGGCTGGAGTGCAGTGGCGTGATCTCAGCTCACTGCAGCCTCCACCTCTCGGGCTTAAGCAATTCTCCCGCCTCAGCCTCCTGAGTAGCTGGGACTACAGGTGCCTGCCACCTAGCCTGGCTAATTTTTGTATTTTTAGCACAGATGGGGTTTCACCATATGGGTCAGGCTGGTCTCAAACTCCTGACCTCAGGTGATCCACCTGCCGTAGCCTCCCAAAGTGCTGGGATTACAGGCATGAGCCACTGTGCCCGGCCTGTTTTTTTGAGACAGGGGCTTGCTGTGTAGCTCAGGCTGGAGTACAGTGGCACCATCTTGGCTCACTACAGCCTTGTTCTCCTAGGCTCAAGCAGTCTGCCTCAGCCTCCCGAAGAGCTGGGACTATAGGCTTTGGCACCACGCTCAGCTAATTTTTACATTTTTTGCAGAGATGGGGTCTCGCTAGTTGCCAAGGCTGGTCTTAAACTCCACGGCTCAAGCGATCCTCCTGCCTCAGCCTCCCAGGATGCTGGGATTACAGGAGTAAGCCATGGTGCCCAGCCTCTCTCTCTGCTCTTGATCTCAGGGTCTTCTCTGGGCTCTCCATATACCAGTTACGTCCGCTGGGTGAAAGTTGGGTGGGGGCATCCCCGGGGAGCAGTGCTTTGGCACCCGGCAGGCTGTTTCCCAGCGCTCCGTCTGCTCCGTCCCACAGCAGACCGGTCCATGAGCAGCTCCCTGTCAGCCTCTCAGCTTCACACGGTCAACATGAGGGACCCTCTGAACCGAGTCCTGGGTGAGTCCCCCACCCTGCTGCTGAACCTGGGGCCTCCCGGTGCCCCTCCCTTCCCCTCGTGCCCCTCGTTGCTGGCTCTCCTGGCCCCCAGGCTCCTGTCTAGTTCCCCCTTCTCCCCTCCCCGGTGACACCCCGTTTTGGGGGCGTCCTCAGCACGCCCTTCTTTTTCCTTTTCAGTCCCACCTTCTCCCAGAGCCTGACCTTACCCCCTCTCATGGAACTCCCTCCTGTCACTCTCCCCCCGCTCTCCACAGCCAACCTGTTCCTGCTCATCTCCTCCATCCTGGGGTCTCGAACCGCCGGCCCTCACACCCAGTTCGTGCAGTGGTTCATGGAGGAGTGTGTGGACTGCCTGGAGCAGGGCGGCCGAGGCAGTGTCCTGCAGTTCTTGCCCTTCACCACTGTGAGTACCGCCCTCCCTGGGGTACCGCCCTCTCCCGCAGGTGCTGGGGCCTCGGGCAGCCCTTGGTGCAGGGAGGGGTCTCTTTCTTCTGGGACAGCACAGCTGCCACCAGCCGTCCTGCAAGGAGCGTCTGTCTGTCTGCGGCAGGTGTCGGAACTGGTGAAGGTGTCAGCCATGTCCAGCCCCAAGGTGGTTCTCGCCATCACGGACCTCAGCCTGCCCCTGGGCCGCCAGGTGGCTGCTAAAGCCATTGCTGCCCTTTGAGGGGCTTGTGGTGGCCGCAGTGGGGGCTGGGGATGGGCCCAGCCCCAGGCACCTTCAAGGGGAGCAGTGAGGAGAGATGAGGCGTCGTGGCTCACGTCCCCTCTACATGGTGCAAGAGCCTCTGCAGCTTCCCGCTCCTGCTCCTGACTCCTGACTCCAGGATGTCTCCCCGTTTTTTCTTTCGAAATTTCCTCCAAGTCTGCCGGTACCTGAGGAGCGTGAGCAGCCTGGTCCCTCGGCCCGGCAGTCACCCCTGTGTTCGCTCACCCCAGTCCAGGAGCAGTCTTACCTCTGAGGAACTTTCTAGATGCAGAGTGTGTATATATGTACATGTATATTTTTTTTTTTGTAATACATGAGGGAAGTCTGCCTTTGTTTATTTGTAAATAAAGCTCCTCGTGGATCCCTTTATGCCTGAGTGCTGTCCGTGTCGGTGCCATCTGGGACAGGGCACAGCGTCCTCTCCCTGTGCCCAGGGAACAGCTCACTCCTGTGGTGAGGAGGAGGAGGAGGAGGAAGAGGAGGAGGAGGAGGAGGAGGAGGAGGAGGAGGAGGAGGAGGAGGAGGAGGAGGAGGAGGAGGAGGAGGAGGAGGAGGAGGAGGGGGAGGGGGAGGAGGGGGAGGAGGGGGAGGGGGAGGAGGAGGAGGAGGTGGTGCAGAGGCACAGGGTCCTATGTATGCTCGCTCAGCTGGGGAAGGGCTGGGGGAAGAGCAGCTTCCCTTCCTCAGAGCCAGGGTGGCTGGCCTGCTGCCCCCTCCCCCAAAGCCAGCTAGCTGTACCCTGAAAAGGGAGCGGCTTTGGCTCAGGGCCCCACAGTGCTGGGGCAGGGTGGCCTGCTCTTCTGTCTCCTGAGCCTGGCCCAACCCCGCCCACACTGACTAGCCTGGGATATGATCTGTTGCCTCCAGAAAAGGACTGGGGAGCTAGTGGGAGGCGGGAGTTGAGGGGGGCTGGACCTTCCTGTAACCTTTCCTTGCCTGCTTCACACATCTCTGAGCCCCTAGGTGGAGGACTCCGAGCTGGCACTGGGTGCTTCTGACCCTGCTTTCCAGGAGCCACTGGCAGGGCAGGGGAGGTGGGAGGGACTGAGGAGGTGAGAGAGAAGAGGCTTGGGCAGATGGTAGACAGGTGCCGGGGGCCTGGCGGGAGCACCCCAGAGCCACACAGGAGTCCTTGGCTGCAGGAAGGCCTCACACCTGTGGCATGGCCTCTGGACCCCCACTCACCACAGCTTCCCACCCTCCTGGGCTGTGAGCTCAGCCCTCCAGCCCACAGGGCTGCCGCAAGCAGGAAGTGGGTAGCTGGGGTGAGTGCAGAGAGTGAGCCTGACGAGGAGAGAAACTGACCCCAGTGGCCAACTTGAACTTGGCTTCCTCTTTGTGAGCAACTTGATGGATGGGCTCGAGTTTATGGAAGATGGTAAATGACCAGGCTGGTGTGGAGGCTCAGCGCCCCCTGGCTTCATCTCGTCTGGCTGTGCCCGGCCTGTGAAGCCCACCCTGACCCCAGGCTCTCTGTTCCAGGTTCTCATGGTCCCTGTGCCTGTCTTCCCCATAAGGCTGTGGCTGCTCAAGTGCAGATGCCACGCCTGCTTTGTTCCCTGTGTGTCCCCAGCACTTAGCCCAGCGTCTGCACGGTGCTAACATATACACACACGTGTATTCCATATATCTATATATGAGTGTCAGATGAGCTCAGGAACCTTCCTCCTCCTCCCTGCGCCTCCTCCCTGGTTCCCTCTGGTGTCTCCCACCATTCAGCCACCTCCGCAGCCCCTGGCCAGGCCCCAGGTGGACTCAAGAAGAAGAAGGAAGGACATGACTGGAGACAAACACTTTATTATACTGAAGCTTGGTTACAATGTGATAGTGGAGAGGATGCCGGTGAGTGGGGGGTGAACAGGTGGAGGGTGACAGTCAGTCGAGCTTCTTTTCACACATACACCTGACACGATTCCTCCTGTCTGTTCCCTCCCACATTCCCAGTCCCTGTCTAGCAAGGCAAATGTCCAGGCACCTGCCCGGCCTGAAAAAGAGTCACAGTCCTGACCCTGGTGGGGGCAGGGCAGGTGTCCCGAGGGCACCAGAAAAATGGGCATCACACGTCGGTGATGTCTGAGCTCTCATGTGGGGAGTCAAACTGTGCCCCAAAAGTCTTAATAAAAACAAGATTCCCCAGCAGATCTGTGGGACCTCAGGGCTATGCCTTCCAGCTCTGGCTGCCTCTGCTTGTCCACTCACGCCCAAGGGGGTGCAGGGCATGCTGTACAGTCGGCTGAGGCCAGAGTGACGGGCGCAAGGACCCAGATGGGGAACACTGTGTTTAAATATTAAACAGGGATTTCTTGTCTCCCACGTGGGAGACCTGATACTCTCAAGGGCCCCAGGTGCAGACCCTGGGGCCCAGGGCCCACTGCGGCTTGTCCCAGCACCCACCGCAGAGCCAGGCCTGGGGAGCAGTCACAGTAATAAATACTTGGTATTTACCTATCCACCTCCCAGTCCAGGGGAATGGGAGGACAGGAGCTTTTTCTCACTGCTACAGGCAGGAGAATGAAACTCAGAAATGGAGGGAAGGGCACAGAGGCCTGGGGCTCCCTTCTGCTCTTCCCAGTCTTTAAATATGAGGCTTAAATAGGCATAAATATTAAATAGCGATAAATACATGGGATGGGAAGGGCTTGGCTCAGGGCTGGGCAAGGTGGCGTAGAACGCGGTGCACCAGCTCCAGGAAGCTCTGCAGATGGGAGGCCACCAGGAGGCCTCCCACCCGGCGCTGGAAGGCAGAGGGCAAGGCTGGTGTGGCGCCACGGGTGGGCTGCAGGGCAGGGGCTGTTCCCAGCTCTTCCATCTGTGGGGGAAAAGCTGCGATCAATGGCTGGGCCCTGCTGGGTGGGCGTTATTACAAATGAGGAAACGCTGGGGGCTGAGCACGGGCAGGGCCCATACACAGGCCTGGCTGCAGTGCCTGGAGTGCCAGCATGACCTTGGGGACCCTGCCCAACAAGGCTCACCTGCTGCCAGATGGTGGTGGCAAAGTCAGCGATGTCCAGGCGCAGCATGTCCAAGGTGGGGGCCAACTCGGGGGAGATCCCTTCCAGGGTCTGCAGGAGGCCCTGGTAGAGGAAGAGGCCGCTATGGAGCTGCCTCAAGCAGCCTGTCTGGGGGACAGAGCGGAGAGTTAGGGGGTGCTGTTGGAGACACTCCAGTCATGCCCCCAGCTTGGAGCCTGGGTACCTGGGGAGCCAGGGGTGTCCCTCCTTTCTTGCCCCCCACCCATTAGCCTTGTCCCCTCCTGACACTCACCAGCTGTAGGGCCTGGCTGGAGCAGCTGCTCAGGGAAACCTGGGGGATGCCCAGAGAGTGCCTGAACAGCACCATCTCCTCGAGGTGGCACATCTTGTAGGTGGCACACTGGGGATGGAAGGATGCTGAGTGAGACTTCCCCTGGCCGGGTCGCCACTCCTCCTTCCCTGGTCCTCCCTGTCTCTGGTCTTTCCCCTCCCTCCGCGTCCTGCCAGGCCGTTCAGTCCCTCTCTGCCCTGTACCTCCACCCTGTGATCTCCTAGGGGTCCTGGTCCCTTCTCCTGACTGTGTTACCCCTACTCCCATCCCAGCCAGCCCTCCCTAGCACTGTTCGCACCAAGCACCTCCTCCCCCAGTCCCTTCCCCGCCTTCCCCAGCTCCATCTTTCCTAATATGCCCCCACGTCCCTTCCAGAGGATGTCGGCCCCATAGTTCCCTCCCCCTTAGCTCTCCCCACCGGGGTTCCCTCCACAGCCCTCCCGCCAGCCTCACTCACCAGCTTCTCCTGCAGCTCCGTGCCATCGCCCTGGACCTTCCTCGCTTGCTCTAAGCACTTGAGCAGGAAGCTCTGGGGCAGGGAGCTGGCAGGGCCCAGGGGGGTGGCTTCCTGCGCTGTCCAGAGTGCACTGTGCCATAGCAGCAGCTGCAGGGCTGGGGACAGAGCGGGCTCAGGAGACATGCTGTCCCCTCTCGGGGACACTGGCGCGTTTAATCCCCATTCCCAGAACGGGGATCCCCAGCCCCTCTGCCATGCCAGCCTCCCTCCCATGCCAGGGCGGGCAGCTGTCCCATCCTGGGCCAAGACACTCACCCACCAGCTTCATGGGGCTCTGGGCGGCAGGTCCAGCCATGGGTCTGGGTGGGACTAGGCTGCAGGCTCTGGGTTGTTTTGGGGCCCAGCTCCAGGGGGGCCTTTATACATAACCCCTGGAGGCCTGGGAGGAAATTACCTGGGGCACGACTAAGGCTTAGTAATAACTTCCCAGGATTTATGCAAATTTGGTGTCCAAGACAATGAAGGGGGGTTGGAACAAAAAGCCGTTTGCGAAAGTTTTGTGAAATTGTGGAATCTCTGATCCTTCTTTGACGTCGCCTTGCCCCCCTCAAAATCCCTTCCTCCCGCTGCCCCGCCCTGGTCTGATAGCCCCAGGGTGTTTGAACAGAACAGCTGAACAAAGGCTGAGCGGCTGATAGATACCTGGAGGCCACAGCAGACCTGTGGGGAAGGGTCTCCCTCCCTGCTCCAGCAGACTTTGGGGGCAGCCTCCTTTGCCCCTCTCCTTTGGGATTCTCAAGTTACCTGCCCCCCAGGCTCCCAAATTCTAAGAGTGAAAGGAAAAAGCTGGTTGGCTCCATTCCTACCCCCAGACTCCCGGGAGGCTGCCTGTCTGGGTGACCTCCTGAGGGCCCCTACCTAAGATACTGACACAGAGTCTTGGCTCCTGTGCCCACCCCACACTCGGATAGGTATGTACCATTGAAAGTTCCAGGCTGTCCTGTCCCAAGCTGATGAGCTGGGAACTCCCCAGAATCCCTCCGCCCATGACTCATTCAGCTAAGCCCCTGGAATCCCGGTAGAGACCAGAGGAAACCGGATGTCTGTCCCAAATGAAGCAAGACCCTTCCAGACGACTGGCTCACCTGACCTTCCACTTCCACGTGCATGACCCCGACAGCAAGGTCCTCAAGGGCTTTGGAAATGGGGCACGGAGACATGTGGCTTCCCTGGCCATTCATCCTTGAAGTGGACATGAGCTGGGGTGAGAGAGTGGAACCACCCCCATCTTCGCATCCTAGAAGCATGCAGCGTTAGTGCTGGAAGGGTCCTTGGAGTCTGTTCCAACCCTGTGAACTGGGCCCGGGAAGGAAGTGCCTTGCCCAAGGTCATGGTAAGTGACAGAATTGCAGCCTGGGCCTCTGGCTCAGGCCTGAACATTTCCTACAGACCACCGGGCCTGCGTGGGGCAGTCTGACTGACCACACCCGAGACTGTCACCTTCTGTTCTAATTAACCCCAGGTGCCAAGAAACAGACAGCTCTGGATGAGGAATGGCCACGCTGTGTGGGGCCATCTCTGGCACTTGGGGGCCCCCTGGTGGTCACCGCTGGCAGAGGCGTCACCTGCTTACACATTGCTATCTGGACCCATCTCCAGCAGCTCCACCTCAGCTCAGGGGCTCAGCACCTCGCACTGATGGGGCCCAATTCTGTGCCCAGCTCCCTGGGAGTGGAGGGTGCTTTTCTTTTTTGCGACAAGTCTTGCTGTGTAGCCAGGCTGGAGTGTTGTGGCATGATCTCAGCTCACTGCAACGTCCGCCTCCCAGGTTCAAGTGATTCTCCTGCCTCAGCCTCCCGAGTAGCTGGGACTACGGTCATGTGCCACCACACCCAGCTAATTTTTGTATTTTTAGAAGATATGGGGTTTCACCATGTTGGCCAGGATGGTCTTGATCTCTTGACCTGCCCCCCTCAGCCTCCGAAAGTGCTGGGATTACAGGCATGAGCCACCACGCCTGGCTGAGGGTGGGTTTCTAACAGGACCATGGAGGGCAGGAAATCCACATTCTTAAACATGTTGCCTGGCAACTACTGCATATGTCTTATATGTCTTTATTACACTTTTGTCATTTCTTTTTTTTTTTTCGGGGAGAGACAGAGTCTCACTCTGTCCCCCAGCCTGGAGTGCAGTGGTGCAATCACGGCTCACTGCAGTCACCTTCTGGGTTCAAGTGATCCTCCCACTTGAACCTCCTGAGTAGCTGGGACCACAGGCACGGGCCATCACGCCCAGTTAATTTTTGTATTTTTTTTACAGAGAGGGGGTTTCACCATATTGCCCAGACTGGACTGGAACTCCTGGGCTCAAGCCGTCCACCCGCCTTGGCTTCCCAAAGTGCTGGGATTACAGGTGTGAGCCACCTTTGTCATTTCATCCCGTCAAGCAACTTGTGTGCGGTAGCTGAGGGAAGGCCTCAGAAGTGAAAGGACTTGTTTAAGATCACAGAACCAGCCAGTGGCTGAGCCTGGCGGGATTTGCAGTTAGATCATCTTCCCAAGCCCCTGCTGTTTCCGTGACACCACGTTCCTGTCAAGAAAGCTGTACATCTTGAAGAACAGCTCAATCCAGACTTCAGCCCCACGTGAGGGAAAATAAAGACCAAACAGAGAGCCAGGGCTTCTTACCACCGGCCATGACACATGGGGCTGAGCCGGACTGGAGGCTCAGAAGCCACCGTGATCTGATGTGGGGGCAGGCTCCAAGGATCCCCGGTAGTCACTCTTCCAGCTTCCAGAAGGCTCTCCCAGGTATTTCTTCATGGTCAGAACTGGCTGGCAGCTTCCCCTCCCACTTCCTGTTTCACCTGGTACTGGCCTTATGGCCTCTTTGTAAAGGATCTGGACTAACGCTCATTTGTTGTTGGGGGGAGTGTAGATTGTAAAAAATCTCCTTGATGGTAACTTGGTAGTGTCTCGTTAATGTGGAAATGTGTATGTCCGGTGACCGAGCAACTCTGCTTCTCAGATACACCTCAGAGCAGGAGTACACAGTCCTGAGTATGTTCGCTGAGTCGGGCTAATTTTTGTATTTTTAGTAGAGACGGGGTTTTGCCGTGTTGGCCAGGCTGGTCTTGAACTACTGACCTCAAGTGATCCACCCACCTCGGTCTCCCAAAGGGCTGGTATTACAGGCATGTAATACCATGTGCCTGGACGACTTTTACACTTTTAAATGGTTGAGGGAAATTTTTTTTTTTTTTTTTTTTGAGACGGAGTTTCTCTCTTGTTACCCAGGCTGCAGTGCAGTGGCGAGATCTCTGCTCACCGCAACCTCCGCCTCCTGGGTTCAGGCGATTCTCCTGCCTCAGCCTCCTGAGTAGCTGGGACTACAGGTGTGTGCCGCCATGCCCGGCTAATTTTTTTTTTGTATTTTAGTAGGGACGGGGTTTCACCATGTTGACCAGGATGGTCTCGATCTCTTGACCTCGTGATCCACCCGCCTCGGCCTCCCAAAGTGCTGGGATTACAAGCGTGAGCCACCGCACCCGGCCTGGGGGAAAATTTTTTAAAAGACAATTTCATAAAATGTAAAAATCATATGAAATTCAAATCTTGGTGTCTATAAAAGATTCATGTATGTATTGTTTATAGCTGCTTTTGTGCTAGAAAGGCAGGACTGAGTAATTGTGACAGAGACTGTATGGCCCACAAGCCTAAAAAATTTACTGTCTGGACCTTTGAGTTTGCAAACTATATATATAGTATATATGTACCAGGAAACATTTACAGAGCTTTATATATTCTTTATTATTATTATTATTTTTTTTAGAGACAGGGTCTTACTCTGTTGTTCAGGCTGGAGTGCAGTGGCATGATCTTGGCTCACTGCAGCCTCGACCTCCCAGGCTCAAGCTATCCTCCCACCTCAGCCTCCTAAGTAGCTGAGACTACAAGTGTTCAGCACCATGCCTGGCTATTTTTTTGGTTTTGTTTTTGAGACAGAGTTTCACTCTTGTTGCTCAAGCTGGAGTGCAATGGCACAATCTCAGCCCGCTGTAACTTCTGCCTCCCAGGTTCAAGCAATTCTCCTGCCTCAGCCTCCCGAGTAGCTGAGACTACAGGCACATGCCACCATACCTGGCTAATTTTTTGTATTTTTAGTAGAAACAGACTAGCCAGGCTAGCTAGAAACCATGTTAGCCAGGCTGGTTTTGAACTCCTGACCTCAGGTGATCCATCTGCCTCGGCCTCCCAAAGTGCTGGGATTACAGGTGTGAGCCACCACGTCTGGCCACGTGGCTAATTTTTTAAAACTTTTTTTTTTTTTGGATATGAAGTTTCACCCTGTCGCCCAGGCTGGAGTGCAATGGTTCGATCTCAGCTCACGGCAACCTTTGCCTCCCGGGTTCGAGCGATTCTCCTGCCTCCTCAGCCTTCTGAGGCTGGGATTACAGACACCTGCCACCACACCCAGCTAATTTTTATATTTTTAGTAGAGATGTGTTGGCCAGGCTGGTCTCAAACTCCTGACCTCAAGTGATCCACCCGCCTTGGCCTCCCAAAGTGCAGGGATTATAGGCGTAAGCCACCATGCCCAGGCATATTATTTTATTTTTTTGTAGAGACAGAGTCTCCCTATGTTGCTCAGTAGTCTTGAACTACTGGCTTCAACTGATCCTCCTGCCTTGGCCTCCTAAAGTTTTGGGATTACAGGCATGAGTCACTGCAGCTGGCCAGATATGTTCTTTGGAACGTTATTATTGTAAACCAATGGAAATGCACTTGCAATGGCCATCAGCAGGGGAATTGCTAGATAGATTCTGGTCCCTTCATACTATGTATGCCTCCCAACCTGTCTAGAGTGAAGACTCCATGAGGAAAGGGACTTTGTTTTATTCGGTTGTATTCTCAGTGCTCAGAACAGTGCTCAGCGTGGGCATCAACGTGATTAGGTCTCAAAAACAATATTGAGTAAAAACAGAGCAAATGACATTCCTATAATATACCACTTACAAGAATTAAAAAACTCCATATTGGCCAGGCATGGTGATTCATGCCTGTAATCCCAGCAGTAGGGAGCCTGAGATAGGAGGATTGCTTGTGAGCTCAGGAGTTTAAGGTCAGCCTGGGCAACATAGGGAGACCCCCGTCTCTACAAAAAAAAATCAAAAAATTAGCCAGGCATAGTAGTGCAAGCCTGTAGTTCTAGCTACTTGGGAGGTTGAGGTGGGATGATGGCTTGGGCCAGGGAGGTTGAGGCTGCAGTGAGCTGTGACCACCCCACTGCAGTCCAGCCTGGATGACAGTGAGATCCTGTCCTCTAAATAGATAGATAGATAGATAGATAGATATGGTTTGGCTCTGTTTGCCCACCCAGATCTCATATATCTCATGCTGAGTTGTGATTCTGAGTGTAGGAGGTGGGGCCTGGTGGGAGGTAAGTGTAGTAC